ATGGGCAGGCGCACGGTGGGGGGGGGAGGAGGAGCGGAGACAGGCCAGGAGGCTGCCGCGGCGGGGCCTGCGGGGGCGGAGGGGGGCGCTGGGGCCGGGGCTGCAGAGCTGCCGGCGTTGCCCTCGACGCTCAAGTTGTGCAGCATCAAGAGCCTTCAGGTGCGCCGGGGTGGGGTGGGGTCGCAAAGGCGTGGCGAAGGACGTCGGTTTTTTTTTGTTATTTTCTTTGTTTGCTTTTTTTTTGCTTCGTGGCTTTGGGTGTTCGTGGTCTGGCCAGGGGGGGGGGATTTACCCTGTGATTTCAACAGCTTTTTTCGCCGTAGTGAGAACATCGATCGAACGCGACACATAATGACTTTCTCCCATACATGAGGGCGCGGAAGCCGACTGCTGTTGCAGGATTGACTCTGCGTAGGCGAGGGCCTTGCTTTCCTGCTGGAAACTGAGTGAAGACTGGTTCCCACTTGGAGAAGGCTTCCTACTACAAGTTTCGATCCGAGCGCAAAACGCCGACCACAGGTCACGCTACGCCGTCCCCCGTCATCTCGCCCTGACGCCCGGACCATCCTCTCCTTTTTTTTTTTTTGTATGCTCCGGTGCCCCTGCACGTGCACACGCATGCTCTCCCTCCCTTGGTGCGTGGGATACCGTCCAGATGGAGAAGGACGTACACGCGTACCTCTTCTGCGCGATGTACCCCGGCCGCACGCTGATCTTCGTTAACGCGATCGCCATCGCCAGGAGGCTGTCGGCGCTGCTGTGCGCGCTGAGCGTGCCGGCGACCCCCCTGCACGCGCAGATGCAGCAGCGCCAGAGACTCAAGAGCCTTGTGAGTACTGTAGCGTTTTTTTTTGCTGTTCTTCGTGGCCCGCCTCCCTTGAGAACCCTTCGATTGCTGCTGCCTCTCTTGGCGCGTGTGTATGTCTGTGTTTTTTTTTATTGTTAGCATCGACCGCTCTAACGGACTGACCAATGAAAAGACGTCAGTGCCAGCGGGTGAAGCAGAAACAAAGATCGGTTGCTGGAAGAGGGCCAAAACTTGGAAGAATGCGCAATGCGCTGCATGCGAATGCGAACCAAAAACGCGTTTTGTGTTGTGTTGTGTGTTTCGCGTCCTGTCGAACGCTTTCATGCTTGCATTAAGCGAGGGTGGTGTTCTGTTCCACCCCTTCCTCTCCTCTCGGCGGGGAGTAAGATGAAAATTGTCGAAGATGGGAGGCGGGCAGAGTCTCTCTTTCGGCACTTGTGGTGGGGTTACGGCGGGGCGCATGCATGCATACGTGCTGACCCCGGCCTGACGGCGATTTATTGTGTTATTTGCTTGTTTGCCGTTGAGGCATAACCCCCCCTTGCTTTCCTGCCGCTCAGCCAGCGCGCTTTCGACAATGGTGTGGGCCAGGGTGGTGCAAGACCCCGCGCACCATGCCTTGAGGGGCACGTAAGTCGACATCTGCCGGTCGGCGCAATGACCGTACTAAATAGTGTGTTTTATGGCTACGATTGATCGACCTTCGCGCAAATTGTGGCAAGTCCGCGATCGCGGACTTAGCTTGTTCGATCGCGGCGTTTGACCATTCTTCTCCTGCATCTGCTCCCTTCGGTGTGTGCCTGCCTCCCCTCCCGCACACTTTGGCAGGACCGTTTCACGTCGGACCCCAAGGCCGTGCTCGTTGCCACCGATGTCGCAGCCCGAGGACTGGACATCCCAAAGGTTGGCAAACCCTTCTGCTCTTGTCCTTGAATACCCTCACCTGGTCTTTCTTGGATGCCCTATTGTACACCTAGATAACGCACTGACTCGGCCCCCTTTGTGACGTGTCCGTATGAGGCCGTACACCAGCAACTTGTGCATCCCTTCAAGAGGGATTCTGAACCTCCCCAAAATATGTGATGAGGTGGGCAGCCCATCCCTCGGCAGGGGACGCACGGACCAGAGGATTATGAGAGAGGAGGGGGGGGGGGGAGTAGGGACAGGGAGAAACGTGGCTCTCATACTTGCTCTGTTGGTGTTTGCTATTTGTTGGTCATGTCCTTGGCAACGTGGGAGAATCGACATCCAAACGAAACGTGCGACACACCCAAGCGTGCCTTCCCCCAGGAGGCCGACAAAGTCTGTCTCCGTACTTGTCTCCAGCGACCTGTCTTGTAGCATGTGTGTCGTCTGCACATGCTTATGTAGCTCGAAACGCCCCCCCACACCTAGACACTAGGATTAAGAGGTGTATTCTCTTGAATGTGATTGTACCTAAGCTAGAGTATGCAGGAGAGGTATGGGAAGGTAACGAAAAGGCCGTCAAGCAGCTGGAAACGGTGCAGATGGCAGCGGCCAAGAAAATACTAGGATGTTCAAGTACAACGAGCAACACTGTATTGAGAGCAGAATTGGGAATGTACTCTCTTCAAACAAAGAGAGACATGCAGAAGTTGAATTGGCAGTACAAGGTAAGTAGAATGTCGGACGATAGACTACCAGCCATGGTTGACAAGGCAGCTTGGGGAAAAGCGATTCCAGGGAAGAAGGGAATCAGATGGGACATGGTGGTAGAGAAGGTTTGGAAGGAGATAGGAGACGAGGAGGAGACGTTGGACACGGAAGGGTTCGGGGGGTTCAAGACGAAAGTCAAGGAGATGCTAGAAAGTAGGGAGGAGGCAACCCTTCGGAAGAAGGTACGAAGCGAAGACCACTTGGAGATATACGGGAAGTTGAAAGAAGGGATAGGGATGAAGACGTACTTGGACGGCCCCATGGACTACGCGAAAAAGCTGAAATTGCAATTTCGAGTAGGCGATCTGGACTTGCCAGAACGGAGGAAGAGATATACCAGCCGTAGGAGAGAGGAAGAGGAGGATAGACACACATGTCCATGTGGCAAATCGGAGGAGAGTAGACCCCACATAGTTGGGGAGTGTGAGTTGTACAGGAAGGAAAGAGAGGATCTCGAGGAGGAAATGAGGCAGAGAGGGTGTGACATGGACAAGTTTGGTAAATTAGACAACAGCGAAAAAACGATCGCGATAATTGGGGATAGATGGTGGGCACAAGAGGCCCTAGAGGACGGGGATAAGATGTGCAAGAAATTTTTATGTAGTTTGTGGCAGAAACGTAAAGAGCTCCCAAATGTTGGTGGTGTCTCTAGTAGGGGTAGGAACGGTGCTCCGTCTCGAAAGGGACGCGTGGTCAATGGTCAAATGACTACGGCAAGCAACAAATGAGTACCCCCCCCCCCCCCCCGACCGTTGTCACACCTGCTCCGTGTTTTCCCGGTTAAGGTCACCTCTCATTTAATCGCTCCCGTCCCCCCATCGCCGCCACCACCTCAACACCCACACACACACGTAGACACGCCCTTCTCAGGCTGCAGCGCACCCTCCATGCGACTCGCCGAATACCTCACGGTTCTTGGCGCTTGGTGATGTGCTAGCCTGGTCCGGTCCGGTGGGAACCCGCTGGCGTGCTCCGTCCCGGCGTTGTTGTAGGAATGCGAGGTCATTGGTCTAGCGACTACGGCCATGCATGGCTTTGTTGAGCACACCCCACACACACCAAAGGCATGCAGTACATGACATGTACGCCCCTCTGCTTTCGTGTTCCTTCTTCTCGTACCGCTATTGACACAGGTGGAGCACGTCGTGCACTACGACGCCGCTCGCTCGGCGGAGGTGTTCATCCACAGGGCCGGGCGGACGGCCCGGGCGAGGGCCGCCGGCCTCTCCCTGTCGATCGTGGCACCCAGGGACGACGCCAACCACCGGCAGACGTGCTCGGTCCTGGGTTTGCACGGCGGCATGCAGGCGTTCCCGCTCGACGTGCGCATGGTCGAGCGCGCCAGGGAACGCGTCGGGATGGCGCTGAGGGTGAGAGGCGGGGGGGTGTGTGCGACCCCGTGTTGGCGGCAGTCCGCTCTTTTTTTTTTTGCTCGTCGCATAATGGGGGCGCGAGGCGTCGGGGGGGGGGGGGGGGGGGGGGAATTTAAAAAAAAAGGTTGGGACCCAAAAACCCGGGTTGTCCCGGGGGGGGGGCCCCCCCCTTGGGAACCCCCCCCAAAAAGAAGAGGGGGGGGGGGGGGCCCAATTTTTTTTTGGGGGCCCTAATTTTTTGGGCCGGGGCCCCCCCCCCCCCAACCCCCCCAAAAGGGGTTTAAGGGGAAAAGGGGGGGGGGGGGAACCCTGTTTGGGGGGGCCCCCTTTTTAAAACCATTGAAAGGAAAAAAAAGGGGGGGGGGGGGTTTTTAAAAAAAGGGCCCCGGGGGGGAAAAAAAAAAAAAGGGGGGGGGAAGGGGCTCTCCCCGGGGGGGGGGGCCCGGGGGGGATTTTAAAGGGGGGGGGTCCACGGGGGTTTTTAAAACGGGGGGCGGCGGGAGGAGCCAAAAACCAATTTTAAAAAAGGGGGGGCCCCTTTTAAAA